GCACATAACAACAACAACAAAGAAGAATATTTGTGACACATGAAAATTACATGTAATTCAAGTTTCCGTGTCCATAAGTCAAGTTTTCCTGGAACACAGCTGTGCCCATTCATTTCTCGACAGCTGCTTCTGGGCTACCATGCAGAGGTGAGGACCTGCGGTGTGGACCAGATGGCCCCTGCAGCCTAACATACTACCTGGCCTTCCCCCTGAACTTCCCCCAGCATCTCAAACTCAACACCTGCCAGACTGCACTTCTCCTCCTGGGATCCCCATCCAAGTGACAGCCACCTCCAGGAGGCCCCTAAGCCAGGTACCTCGAAGTCACCCCTCACGGCCCTCCTCACCCTCTCCATTCCCACAAGGCTTGCAAGGGGATTAGGAGCGGGGGCCTGGGCCTAGAGTGCCAGGGTTTGAATCCAAGCTCTGCCTCTCCCTAGCTCTGTAATCTTAAGCAGATGACTGAACTGTTCTTGGCTTCAAGTTCCTAGTGTGTACACGAGGGACACTTACAGTATGCACCTTTCGGGGTGTTGGGAGGTTTCAGTTAGGAGTTACCACGTGCAGTGATGGAACTGCTCGTTGGTGCTGGTGAGTGGACGCCAAGTCATGACGGTCTTAAGTACAAGAAGGAAAGTCGCCCAGTCCTGTGCCATCCTCACATCCCATGTTCAAGGTCAAGCCGTCTCACAAAGGGCCTCCCTCACCCTGGCTGGCCCTTGGCTTCACCACACACGATGTTCCCCTCCAGCACTTGGGCTTTCCCAAAAGCAGGGGAGTTACCCAGGTGGAACTTACCAAGAGCACCATGAATTCCAGCCGTTTCTTATGATTATTTCACCCAGGGAAGCCCTGGTCTGGCCTCCTACCCTCCCCTGCTCTCACATCTTGCCTCTTCCTACCACTGCACACCCTCCAGTTCCCCCTCCCCGGCCTTCAGCTGGCTCCAGGCCCACCACCCAGCAGCATGTATTGAGTGCAACCTGTGTGCTTGGTCTTTGGGGAGGGGAAGCATTTATGCGTCATGTCCCCTGGTGACCCAGGCTTGCCC